ATAAGCTCATCGCTTCGAGGATTTGTGAAACAATTTCATCTGAATTTAAATTTAATCTGCATATGTTTAATGTCAAAAATAAATATTGCAACATGTATATTTATGGAATGACCTATATAGATGTTTGAACCATTAAGTTTTTATTGCATTAAACATTACGCCGTTAAATTAAATGTGTAATTTTATACAGTTTAATTGGTGTTTGTTAATTATAATAAAATGTCAATTTAAAAACAATTTGGTGCAAAAAACCGTTATAGCGCAATTATTCTGTCCATACTGATATAAATACATTTCCTATAAATATATTTGCAAGTTTTACGATCGCATAATAAAATACTGAATGCCAAAGGGAATAGCTGAACAATGAGGAAAATTCATTTCATGGTAAATCCAAACCAAAACAATTTCGATAAGAGTGTTTATAAAAAAATTCCTAAATTTCCACTTAGCTGATCTACAGCCTCGTCTGTTTACTGGTTTTCACTTATGCGGATCAAATTTCAACGCAGGAGAGCCGACATTCAGTGGACGTAAAACAGCAATCGGAGTCCAGTTCAAATGACTTCAAACATTCTGTTGAACAAATTGGTCGTGTTCGTGTCCAGAGTGAAAAACAGGCTGATGATGATCATGACATACTTGTGGCAGGCGAACAAAAATACATACTAAAAAGAAATCGTTGATATTGGTAGAAGTATATGTTGAAGCCAATTTAAATAAGATATATATTTTATTGATAAATTTATAAATATAATTTATTGATAAATTCAAAATTTCATTTATTGCATTAATTTAGAAGCATTGCTGAATGTATTTTAGTTTTATTTAAAAAAAAATATTTTTGTCAAATATGTTATTGTTAATTAACACTTGGAGAGAATATGCTCAGACAAAACCCATTTGTTTTTAACAGGCAAAAGGAAACGAGATAGACCCATAGGTCAATCGGTCAAAATTTGGATATAGCTTCCATATATATCTTGGCACCAAACGTGTAATATCAGCACAAATGGTATGAAATTTGGCACATACGACCAAATTAGGCCTGATTTTCTCACAAATTTGCCATAAAAATTTTATTTGTTATGTGAAGCTCTACTAAATATGCAAAATGGTGTAGGATATCATAAAGTCGGCCCGCCCGACTTTAAGACTTTCTTTACTGGTTTAAATTGATTTAAAGTTTTTGCTATATTTAATAATTTGCTATATTATTGAAATAATAAGAAAATCATACCCAACTCATTCTTTTAAATATTAAAGATTAATAGGTCTTTCGCACTTTGTGCATCAATGAATTAAGCCTGACTATTTTGCAAAAACAAAATAACATAACATATGATAGCGCTGTTCTTAAAATCTACAGGCCCCTTGCTTCTCAAGCGTTTCGACTGCCAATCAAAATTTTCAAAAGAGTATACTCAGTATAAAACTTGCAATCTTAGAGTACTCTGTAAGCTAGCATCGATGCAAATATTACCATATGCAAAGTTTGAAAATGTTTACTTTTTGTGGAGGTGGTACCACAGGGAGTACACCGATGTACGATGTAACAAGGTTGGATGGAATCAGATACTTTCTATGAGAGTTACCGTGCGCACCAGCCTGACAGACGGACACCGGTAGATCGACTACAAATGACCTGAAACTGATTTCACCTAAATGGACCTATGGTCTTAAACTTATATTTCGATGAGGAACATTTTGCCGCATCAAATAATATATATGTCCATAAAGAAAGGGGCGCTACAATAGCTTTGCGTTCAGACCGCACAATAAACATCAAATGGTATAGAGAAGCTATATCCAAATCAGAACCGATTTTGATGAAATTCAGCAGAGGCACTTCTGGGGTGTTCCTGATATCTGCTTCGACATATCATTGTTGTAGAGTGCTTATTACGAAAATCTGATGAAACATATATATGGAAGCTATAGCTATATCAGGATCAATTTTCCCTTAAACACGGATGTGCCGAAATTTATCCAATTTGGAGGAATATTACTCATATGATGCTAAAAAGTGTGGTTAAAATACAAAATAATCGGATGTTTCGCCTGATGAGTGATAAAAAAAAACATAATGAGCCTATTTCAGCAGTCTTCTGCCGCAAGAATCATTACCCATTTATACGATTCATCTAAAAGATTTTATAGCATGATTACAACAGAAAGTAAGCTAAATCAACTTAGACTTTTGCGCTGATCAAGAATATATATGCTTTGTTGAGCCCAACATGATTGTTTCGAGGATATACAAATGGAATAACAAAGTTAACATATATTCGTAAATAAAATTTTGAATGCATATAAAATCAAAAGGAGTAGCGAAGCGCACCGGGTTCAGCTAGTTACGTATATATATCATTCCCAAGGAACATTAGTGACTAATAATGATATCAAATATATACAGGGTGAAATAAAAAGCTGCACAAATTCCAAGGCCATAATTATTTTTTAAATTTTATTGAATGAAAGCAAAAAATGTCAGAAATAGCATCACATTTTAGAATAAGTTTAGATTTGTTCTAATTGGTCAACTTTGGCACGAATTATGTCCTCCAATCGGCCAATGAAACCGTCACACGCTGCCCGAATGTTGCTCTGCGGTATTTTGGCCCAATCCCAACGAAGCGCTTGCTTGAGGTGGTCGACACTTTGGTATTTTTTAGTGCCAACCTTGCTTTCTAAAATATGGAAATGTAGAATTGAAGCGAGGAACCTCATTTTTAACCATTCTTGGGTGGCGCGTGCTGAGTGCGATGGCGCTGAGTCCTGTTGGAATGTCCAAGGTCTGCACCCTCTAGAATATTTTCGCGATAATATTCTGCATTTATTCTGATGCTACGGTCGATTAATACGAGCAGAGAGCGACCATCGGCTGTTATGGCGGCCCACAGCATCACCATGTCCGGTGCTTGAGTTCTGGTGGCCAACCGAAGGTGCACATTTTCAGCTGACCTCTTTGGCAAGTGAACACGATCATTTTATTTGTTTACAAACTGCTAGACAACGAATGTTTTCTCATCGGAGAAAACCAAATTCGGCAGTTCAACACTTTCGGCCAAGCGAAGCAACTATTTAGCTTTTTCGAGTCCATTTTCTTTCTGTTGTGCTGAAAGTTTTTGCACATTTTGGAATTGCAGTGGCTTTACTCCGAGCTCATTTTTCAATATTTGCCGAATGGAATACTGCGGTATGTTCAACTCACGAGCCATTTTTCGGCCTCTGAGACGCGGGTTTAGGTAGAACGAAAGCATAACAAGTGGAGAAAGATGTAAATGTTTATAAGTGCGGTTGTAAGATTTAGAAGATTTTCCAAAAGAATTTTAGTTTTATTTAATTCTTTGGTTTCTCTTGTATTGAGCTTACGATCTCGTCACGTGGGTAAAAAATGTTTTTTTGTCATAGAAGTTATTTTTAAAATAACTTCTGGGAAGAATATTCCAGACAAAAAGCAAGGGAACTGATGAGGATTGGTGGCTCTTTCCGGAACCTAGATATTCCCTTATCCCCTGGTAAACATTACCATCGTTCTCCACTAATAAACAAACGTTGTTGGAATAAAAACAACAATAAAGGGATTAAGCCTGACTATTTTGCAACATAAAAAAATAAATAAAAAAGCAGATAAGTTCGGCCAGGACGAACTTTTTATACCCTCCGCCGTTTGGAAGAAACTTGAAAAATTTAAAAAAAAAATCCGTCGGAAAATACCGCTCAAGTGAAAACCGTTATATGGCGGCTACACGAAGACATGTTCCTGTCGTCGCAAAAATCATCAAAATACCGAATATCGGGAGGAACCGTTATATAGGGGATTAATGATATCGTGAACCTATACAGACATTTTTTTCCAGGGTGTAATGTTCTCACATGGAAACCCTTTTGTGGATTTTAAGACAACTCCATTTAAAAAATTGGCTGAAATCATCAGACTACCGAATATCGGGATATACGATATCGCAGACCAATATAGCCCATTTTCGACCTGCCTGCAGACAAAAGACTGAGCAAATTTTTAGCTTCCTATACTAATTTGTTTTGACTCTAGCGTGATTACAACGAACGGACAGGTCTAAATCGTCTTAGAATTATATGCTGATCAAGAATATATATACTTTGTTGGGTCTAAAATAATTATTTCGAATGACGAAGTTAATATACCCTCCACACAATGTATGGTGGAGAGTATAAAAATAATAAAAACAAACCGTACGACATAATGAATACGGATCATAGTTAGTGTGACTAAACTACATGTATCGCGACAACCTCTGCAATAAAGCTAAATAGCCTTTTCTGAACCCCGTGAAAAGTTCTCTACCTCCGAATTGTTAATTTTATGTTAATCCTATGCCATTGATTGAATTACGAAGAGTTGCTACACTTTTGGCCCAAAACAAACTTCAAAACCATGTTCGAACAAAAATTCGGATAACTATAACATTTTGAAAATGTATTATAATTTAATGATGATTGTTGCAAAAATGCCTCTATATATTTCAAATTTTATATGCCGTAAATTTCCTTCGGAATTTACAATTTACATATTGACATATACTCTCGTTTGGGATTTGCCAAAAATTTATATTGCTTTGCTATCATAAACAATTTGAACAAAATATTTTTGCAATTAATTTCAAGAAAAGTAATTCAACCCAGATTTCGAAATGCGAGCAAGATTTAAGATAAATGTTGATTGAACGGGTTTCTCTGGCAAGAGGTGTGTTCTTCTAAATTTGTTGGCCTACATTTTTTTGATAAACAATTAAAATTATTACACTTTGCCAATGAACTTGTTTTGTTCAGAAAAATTGCCTAAACAGCCGATTGTCAAAACCGACAATTGGTGCCAAGTAAAAGTCATTATACCTTTGATGTATGGGTGCAATATGAAAGGTATGGAATTTTATATGTCGTACGGGATAGGAGGGTGAGGCTAGGATCAGATGAGTTATAGAGTTTGTAAAAGGCGATTGAATTCTCGCAAAAGCCATTGTACAAACCTGAATAATTAACATTGCCAGATGAGATGAGATGAGTTCAATATCTTTCGTTTTTTGATATAAATAGGCTTCCACAACGAAGAAGGATTATCAGTTATTGTTTGAATTCAACTGTAAACGATTTCTACTGCCAATATGAAATTTACTGTAAGTATTTTTTGGACCTTATTAAAATAACAGATTTTTTCAAAATTGAAATTCTCAATTAGATTGTACTTGTGGCTTGCCTCCTGGCCGTCGCCTTTGCTGATGATCATGACCACCACGAACATCATGAGGAACATCACGATGATCATCATCATGAGGAACATCACGATGACCATCATCATGAGGAACATCACGATGATCATCATGACCACCATGAACACCATCATGCCGACATCGTCAAGGAGTATCATGAACACAATCCCAAGGATTACAAATATTCCGTTGAACAGAGCGATCATGTCCACGTTGAACATGAGGGACATTTGGCCGATGAGCACACTTGGATTGTCAAGGGCGAATATGAGTATCTTGACAAACATGGTAAACCTGTCAAGGTTACCTACACCGCTGACGAATATGGTTACCATCCAAAAATTCACCAATAGATAATTACATATTTTGCAATGCTACAGATCGATCGAATCTTCTAATTTGTTTGTTAACATTTAAGAGTGCAGTAGAATTCAATAAAGGTATTGCCTCATAGCTGAACACAAATGTCGAAAATTGTATTTATTTTAATGGAAGAAGTACAACAAATCCCTTCGCGGTTTGGAAAGTTATATTTTTGAATATATATCCAGTGTTGCAGTGGTATCTGTTATATTCATTGAACAAATGTCGGTAAATTTACCTCAAAAATTGGGATTTTCAAGATATATGTTGTTTGCTATGGATCCAAAATAACAATTACGTTGAAAATGAATGGGAAAATAGCAAATAGAAACTTGCAATACCAAATTTCAAACAATTCTGTTGCAAACCAGAGAATGTGGAACCTATTGCGATCTCCGAATATCAAATTCCGAAGATCGGAGTGGGAGAGCTATGGAGGTTAAATCGCTAAGTAACCTAATATTTTTTAAAATTATTTAAATACTATTTTTTAAAATTCTTACATTTACGCTAAGTGGTGTCTTCGCCAGTATTTGTAACAACAATATAGGACTATTTTGACGAAAAAATTGCAACCCTTAATCCTCTAAACCAAAAAGGGGGTTCAAATGAGCTTTTTGATCCGTTTTTTTGAAAAATGGTTAAAAATTCCTTCTATACGGAATAGAAACACGTCAAAAAATTCTAAAAATTATTTGCCAACAAATTCTGCAATAGGTCTCAGACTACCTCAAAATTTTATTTAAACGCCAAAAATGTATAAATACTAAAAACAACTTTTTAGAGTTAAAGCCCTACTTCAAACGAATTTTGCATAAATTCTCCCATACAGCATTATTCTAAGAAGAAGATGTCAAAGACAAAAATATATATTGTTCAATTTTGGCAAAAAAAAAGAAAAGCATGCAAAAATTGTTTCTGCTTTTCATGGGACTTTCTTCGGTGTTTTCCGAAATAATGTATGGAAGTAATATTCAACTTTGTTACACCACCATTCACTATGTCTCAGAACAAACTATATATCTAGATAAAATGGCTTTTAGCAAAATTACAATTTTATACATTAAAAGTGGAAATTTGATAGGGTGTTGTTATGTTGTATAGGAATTGAAATAAGTAAAAAAGCTGTAAGTTGTAAGGCCAATCTATGAATACCCTTCACCATTCGGAACAAATATGGTAATTTTCATAAAAATAAAATTCGTTAGAAATTCTGTTAAAATCTAAAAATACCAAATGTAGCCGTCATATTAGGGACTAAATGACGACGTCGACTTGCATAGGCAATTTTTGTCATAAGTCATTACAATATTTAAATGCGAAACTTGAAAAAAAAAAAGTTAGCAAAGGCTATAGTCCTGCGGGGTCGACCATGTGATACCCTACAACACTACAATATGTTAGAAGCCCCTTTATGTTCAAATCCATTTTTAAAGATTAAGCTTTTGAAATTATGTCACGGAGCACTGCTCAGATATTACCCTTAGCATTTTGACTAGGGACATTTGCCCAATATTTACGCACTCCGTCGTGCTGTTAGCTGTTGTGGTCCATTTTACAGCTATATATAATCCAATGGTCATTCAAAATGCTAGAATTCTTTCCTGTACGTAACTCTCTTCTCAGGCGTATCGATTGGCTTCAATTGTGTGATCAGCAATTTTTTTCTGTTTTTGGTCCATTTCAACCCCTAAATATTATGCGATCATTTCCCAAAGCAATAGGGTTCAATTCTGGCCCTAGCCCCAACTACGTTCTAAATTTGATGAAGATCGGGCCATAATTGCGACCTGTAGAGTGATTACAAATTTACATGGATAGACGGACGGACGGACGGACATACATAGCTAGATCGACTCAGCTCGTCGATATAGGAAGATTCATATATTCTTTCCTATGTGGGAAATCAATATTTCGAGGTGTTACATAATTTTTGGCCCAATCAAACTTATAATACCCCCAACACATAGTGTTGTAGGGTATAAAAATTCGGTGAATAATGAGCTAAAATAATTAATATAGGGAAGTACTATTTTATGGGGGCTATACCAAAATGTGAGCCTTCACAGACAATTTTCTGCTACAGTAACCGTTATGTACTTCAAATGCCAAATTTGAAACATTTCAGTACAATTTTATCAATCTGCTTCATTTCGTTCGAAAGCTAGAGTAATTTCCACATACGGACAGACGAACGGACATCGCTAAATCGACGTCGAATTTTATGCTGATCAAGAATATATATACTTTGTGGGGTCTAAAATGTATATTTCGACGTGTTACAAACGGAATGACAAACTTAATATACCCTCCATACTATTGTGGAGGGAATAAAAATACGAAACCTTTATTTTAATTGACAATAAGGCGCACAAATGTTGACCACAACTGCGTCCCAAATGGAAAATTCTCACCAAAATGCTTTTGTAAGCTTGTAAACCATATATTGAGCTATCACTGGATAAGTCAAAAAATCCCACTACTGGAGTGGAATTTTATGACAAATAATTTTGTAGTATATTTCTATTTGGATTTTTTTTTTTTTTTTGATTTGTGATGTGATTGTGAAGTGATTTTTTACGTCTTTCATTACCTTTTTTGACTTTCTAAAGGTTAAAATTTCGACCATTTATATTAGATTTGTTATCAAAAATATTAGTGGATTTAATGGAGTTTTAATTCGAAAATACTAAACTTTCCTAAAGCTTTCTACGGACCTATAATACCATTGAGTACAATTGCATTTTCCTAGTTTATTACCTTTGGAATCTAGTAAGGAGTCTGCGGACAGATAGGCAAACGGACATGGAATTTTATGCTGATCATTCATCGGCTTCTTCCCCGATATTGTGATAATTTTAACTTAGTTCATTTTTCAACCCTAATGTCAAGGCTATGATATTTGGTATTAAATATGGCATATTTTTTGAAACAGTATCTATCCGATGTTAAGTATTTTAAAGGACCTATGTTTTGACATATCTTTTGTGGTGAGATAAATCTTGTGGCTTCCTATTTCCCCATAAACCCATATGTGACGAAAGTAATGACCAAATGATTGTACTAAAATTTAAACACATGACGACAAAGGGAAATTTATATATAGCCTAGAATTAAAAGCCGATACAAAAAACAAACAAAAATATTTTGTATTTAGTCTAATTCAAATTGCTTCCATTTTGTAGATGGCTAATTAGTCACCAGTCATTGTTTTCTGTAACATAAATTTCCTAGTCAGATTATAATTAGAAAAAATGCTTAAAATTCAGAATTAATGAAAATGTCATCAATGCAATCAAGCAATGAACATTTATAAATTATTGCATTTAATATCATTTAAAATCAAATTGAATGCTTTTATTAAAAAAAGCTCTGCCCCAAAAACAAAATGCAACTCCAAATCGATGCATATTTCTTGGCGTTGGCTTATTTTCGATTTGCAAAAGTTTTTTTCGGTGTTCGTTGTTTGCTCTCATTGAGATCAAAGCTTGATCATCAAGAACTCAACTTGAGACATATAATCATTTGGAACATTTAACTTTAGTGGGGAAGGAGCCAGAAGGAGTGGATCTGGGGTGCGAAGGAATTTACCGATATACCTATAGTTGGTAAAAATATGGTGATGTACGAAGTTTAGAGAAAATCTTTGTTGGTGTATATAGAACGATGTTGACTCCTTTGTGGAGGAGATGCCAGAAACGGGGAACCGTTCTATCATTTGGACCAAATCGGATACTTCTTTTGAGAGTCATCGTACGCACCACACAGTCAGACAGACATAAATACACCCATACATGGATTCTAAATGCGATGAAAAGAGTTTAACACAAAGAGACCTCGGGTCCAAACCCGATATTTCGATGAAACACGTTTTGGTCGTATCAAATGAGATGTACAATATGTAGTCATATAACGGTTTAAAAAATGGGGGACTGTTAGCAATAACTCCATCTTTTGAAGAAATCGACTAAATATTCATCATAGTCATATTATGTCTGCAAGATATATTAAATTTTCCATTCCGTTTGCAACACCTCGAAATATTTGTCGAGGATTCAAAAAGTATATGAATAGATCAGAGCTAACTTTTAAGTCGTTTCAGCGATATCCGTCTGTCTGCCTGTTAAACAGAATCCACATTATTTAACCCATAGCTTTGAAATATGGCTCAAAGGTTGATATTGTAATTGCAGGCTGGTTGATATAATAATTGGGCTATATGGGTTCACGTTTAGATATAGCACCCATATAGCCGTACCTCCCGATTTTCGGTATTTTGAAGGTTTCTGCCACAATTTTCAACTAAATTAGATAATAATATAGCTTTCGCTTTTTGTGTTATTATACCCTCCACCATAGTATGGAGGGTATATTAAGTTTGTCATTCCATTTGTAACACCTTGAAATATATATTTTAGACCCCACAAAGAATATATATTCGTGATCAGCATAATATTCTATATCGATTTAACAATGTCCGCCCATCTGTGGAAATCACTCTGGCTTTCTAACGAAATGAAGTAAGTTGATAAAAATTTACTCAAATGTGTATTATGTCTGCAGGACTTTTGGTATTGAAAATGGCCCATGTAGGGCGTCTATAGAAGTTCGTAATGAATACTACAGCCTGTGACAGAAAATAGTCAGGCTTATGAGAAAAGTTGTGTATGCATGTCCACGTCGCCGTATAGACTCTTATATACGGTTACATTCGGTATTTTTAAAATTTTAACAGAATTTTTAATGGATTTTAATTTTTTGAAAATTGCCAAATTTGTACCAAATAGTGGAGGGTATTCAAAGTTCAGCCCGGCCGAAATTGCATCTTTTTTACTTGTTTTTTATTTAAACTGATTAATATTATAAGCTAACATATTTAATACAACTACTTCCAGAAAGAGCAGAAGTCCTGCATTTTCCTAGGGAGAGAAATCTAAAAAACAACCATCGCCTGGTGGTATCTTCGGTTTTGCCGAAGAAAAATTTGCCGAGGAGATGACCATGGTGTCAACAAGCACCTGTGATTGACTGAGCTCGGTAATCAAGGATTCTATGGTTGGTATTCAGTGGGTGAAGGAATCGTTGACAAGTAGGAACTATGATGTAGATATGTCGGGTTGTTCAGAATTTGTACTAGGGTGGTTTGGGATGTTCCCGATTTATGTAATCGGGAACTTTGATTTATGGCCGTCGAATATTAGTTAGTCAGGGAAATTAGGAATTGCAACATTAGTGTCCGGATTAATGTCGGCATTCGATGTTGGTGTCCGGTATCTTGATGTCCAGGTCTTGTGAGACGGTTAGGCCGCTCACTGTGGGTATGTCCGGGAACAGATTTCCAGGTCTTCTAACATGATCAGAACTTGTTCGTTCGCTGTTTGGGTAGAATGGCTGGGAAATTGTTCTAACTACCACTAGAGTTTATGACTACGTCTAATTAACTACCAATGTTCCTGTGGGACAATGAGCCAAAGACTCATGTGTAACAACGAACCGAAGCCCCTGTGGAAATGAATTACCGGCCACTCAATTTAATTTGAGAGGCATCACCAAGTCAACTAGATTTTTTTACATTATGCTGTAAACGGTATACTGTCGAATACTGAATATTCTGTTACATTGCCAAGAGATAATGGGGTGATTGATTGATGCTGTCCTCTTAGCTATTGACTCATTTTCTCGTTGTTTTTGCTGTTGCCGTTGGTGCCACTATTCGTCCAATGGGTGCGGTTGTAAGTTATCACCAATGTATGAGATGAAATTATTACAAGATTTCAAAACTTTCGGGGTAGGTACCAGAAAAAGTGGACCGATATATTCGATATTCACTCTTGCTCTAATATAGACCAAAATATTGGAATTTGCTCTGTTATGAAAATCGGGCACTGATTTGACATTTTACAAAAATTATTATTCAACAATTCTGAACTTTTGTGGGGAGTTACCAGAAGGAGTGGGCTGCCCATATCTGTCGTCGTACGAAATCTGGACAGAACAGGATATGCCCTTCTAGAGACTAGATGTATAGTTTGCGAACCTTGCTATTGATGATTCTGTAGAGTTGGGTGATATTGACATAAAAATTCCAATGACAAGAATTCTTAATAAGAGTCAAATTTGTCTTATATCTTTTATGCAACTATCTGAAAAATATGGTAAAAATTTCCGAACATTAATGTAGCTCCCGTAGAACGAAATATTCAGCAAAATACACATTTGAGTAAGATTTTGGCGACCTATATATCCATTGTAATAGTTCGAAAGACGGACGTGGCTAAATAATTTAGAATTCAGAGCGTCGTATTTAAAGATATCATATTTATGCATATTATCCTGATTTTAGACATGACTAAATTTGATTTTAAATTTGACCCAAAAAATGATATTTCATTTCACTTCACTTAGTTTTGAAAAATATTAACTCTCATATCGATTTTATTCACTCATTGTCTAAAAACGTAACAATTTATTGTTCAACATGGGGATGGTAACCGTGTTCATCGGCGGTGTAGGTAACCTTGATGTGTTTGCCCTCCTTGGTGACAAATTCGTATTCACCCTTCACCAACCAGTTGTCCTTGTCTTGCAAATGACCCTCCTGTTCGGCACGAATGTGGTTGGTCAATTCGAGGGCATATTTGAAATCTTCGGCATTGACTTCAGAGAACTCCTTGACAACTTCAGCTTCTTCGTTGGCATAGGCGAAAGCCAAGAGGCAAGCCAGTAAAACAATCTGTCGAAAATATATGAATAAAAAATATATCAAACTAAATCCAAGTTCTATTTGGATTTTTGCCATTTCAATACTTACTGCGAATTTCATATTGATGATTTGAACTTTTTCGATTACGAAAATGAACTGATGCTTTCTTTTTGCCAAAATTTCGTATTTATAGTCATCATCTGATTAAACTAAGTGCAAGCTTGTTAAGTGCTATTATTTGTGTTTTTAAGCGCCGTGACAGCTGTGACAGGAAACTAGTTAAACAAGACTCTGTCAGAAGCAAGATTCGAATATCTAATTAGATAAGTAGTTTGTCGTTATGTTTTGACATGCAAAAAGAATATTCCAAAAAAAGTTGAATGCAAATGCAACAACCGTTATAATGATTTAGAGTCTAAACTTCTGTTTTGGGTGTACGTGATAAAATTATCAATCAATCATATCAGCACAAATATTCAAAATCTTACGGAAGGACAGATTCTAAACCTCTATGCGAGTTTTTTGTGTAAAATTTGAAGACAATCGAACTCTTTTTTTAAATTTTATAGGAGTTATAATTATTCAAAACTTTTACCCGCTTTGGGGGAGATACCAGAAAGAGTAGGCGGATGTTTCTCATCTCTACATCTGATCTTGAGTTGATGGAAATGTTAGGATGTGCCACGTTTGAAAAGAATAGGATACAGATTTTATAAGCGTCGTGGTTTTTTAACATTTTTACCCTTTGCAGAGAAGGATCCAGAAGGAGTGGTCCGTTCTACCCGTTCTTGATACCAGATCTTGTGTTCGTAAAAGAAGTGGGATGTGTAAAATTTCACATTTTAGAGGGGAGACGATAATTCAAAATTTGTGTTGATAAAAATATGATGATTTGTGAAATTTGAAGACAATCTGACTATTATTTCACATCTTATAAGAGTTATAATTATTCAAAATGTTGACCCTTTATGGGAGAGGTACTTGATGGAGTGCGCCGACACAGAGACAGATGGACGGGCGGATTCCAAATCGATTACATAGATTCCAAATATCCTGAAGCAGATTTGGTCCAATGAGGCCTAAGGTCTAAAACCGTTGTTTCGATTAGGCACATTTTGGCTGAATCAATCCTTTGAAAAACCCTTTGTAGCCGTATTGCTGAGGGCATAAAAATTCTCATTCGTCCCATAGGCCAAACTGCAGGGTGACTGCAAAATCTAAACAAATTGTAGGTTTTGGGTCCATTGGCGCTATAATTGCGATCCGAACAAAATCTCCCCAACAGTGTTGTGATATGAAACCAGTAAGGAAAGGTTAAAAGTCGGGCGGGCCGACTATAAGATACCCTACGCCACTCTATGTGAAGTAGATCATACCAACTATGAACCTTATTTGAATGTGTATCATGGCTTTAGAGTAGTCACAATTTGGGAACTATATCCAACTCTGAATCGCTTTTCAACAGTTTGAAATATTTATTTGAGTAAAACATATACCGGACCGAGTTTCACCAAATAGAAAAATTCGGCTGAATATGAGAAAATCTATCCAATTTGGACTGATATTACATATATTAATCTGGTACCGAAGATCGTTGTTGTAAAATAGATATTTCGCATCTGAGGGACTTAAACCAGAAATCGGATGAAACATATATATGGGAGATATTGCTATATCTGAACCGATTTCAAAATTTGATGTATTTGCTTGTAGACTGTGATAAAATGCAGGTCATTTGGACTGACATTGGTCATTTGGTGCACAATACACCTGATATCGGATAAAGATATATATGGGAGCTATATACAAATCTAATCCGATCTTGACAAAGTTTTAGGCACTTATTTTTGGGCTGTATCTGACATATTACGTATGTGAGAGACTTAAAACACCAAATCAGTGAGGAGCTATAGTTATATCTGAACCGATTTGATGTACTTGCTTCTACACTGATTTCGGTCGGATGTTCCAAAATTCAGGTCGTTCGGACTGATATTGGCCATTCTCACCAATTTCAGTAGGGTTCGTCCTTGGGCTAATATCAACCGGATAATAAATGCGATGTGCATTTTGTTTACAAAAATACATAGAAAAACGGACGGACAGACATGCATTGATCGACTAAGAAAGTGATTCAATGAAGATCCTCAAAAGTAACTAAGGGTCTAGCTCGCTTCCTTCTCCATGACAAAGACTTTACACCCTTACAACTATGTGGTGTAGCAAGGATAATTGAAAAAATCTCACGCGATAAAAAATATGACAAAAAATAAAAATATATAACAAAATATTACAAAAAAAGAAGAATATTCAAATTTTTATTATTTTATTACTTTTCTATCAAGAGACCACTATGAATTGGTGAGAATTTTTGTATTGAGTTATAAACGGTCTTACTAATATCCCATTCTTTAATATATGATATTGTATTAATATCTCTCATATCAGCATTAATATTACGGTCAGAAGTGAGCTTTAGTGTATTTGTAATTTCGCTGGAATTAAAATTATTAGCAGTTTAATGAAAATTCTCGTATATGTTCTAATAAATGTTATGGTCTATTCTACCCGCTAAATTTTTGTTTGTTTTTGGTTCGCTTCAACGCCTACATATTTTGCGATCATCTTCCAAAACACTACGCTTCTATTCTGACCTTAACCCCACTTCCACGCACATATGAAGCTCAGACCTCGGACAATTTAAGATGGGCTGACTGATTTCGATTATTATATAATTTCGTGGTAATATTATATGATTTCGTGGTATTATATAATTTTTAGCCCAATCAAACTTATAATACCTCCAACACCTAGTATTACAGAGTATGACAACTCCATAAAGCTGTGATCGTAAAAAAATAAAATATTCATGTAATTATTATAGGTCTCAGAATACAAAAAAAAAAAAAAAAAAACACTAAATCAAAATAGGGTAAACAAACAAAACATTTAAAAACGCGTTTTAGAGTTAAAGTACCTTAGTTTATGCAAAATAGCTCCAGTATTCATAATTATGGGGCGATGACGCCAATGAATAAAGTATTATACATTAAATACCACTTAAAGTTAACAAATCCATATTTAAATTACTTCTGATGTTAACGTTATAGATATCTCAAACTGTTGCCGAAATCCCTAACATATCCTTGATTTACAAATGCAAGTGAAAATTTGAAACCGTTTGTTTCGCTTCAATAGAAACATACAATTCTTACCAGTAAGAAAGTCCACTTTAGTAAGGTCGCACATACTTTCTGTTAGTGTCAAAATACAACTTGCTTTAAGTTACATGCATGGGTATTATCGGTAAACATTTCGAACCCTCGGGCAACACACATTTGGCTATTTATAACAAATGGGTTAACGTGGATTTATTATCCACGGAATACGTACATACATTTATTACCGATTTAGGTTCCATTGAGTGGCATGTTTGTCATTTAATAATGGACATGATTTTAAGATAAACAAAAGATTTAATGACAATTTGGCTATTTTTTTTCTTTTTTTTTTATTTACGTTCTTATATGGATACATAATTGTGTATTTAAAATCTCATAGAACAGATGTGTGCAGTTGTATGGGACCTGTTTTCAATCAAACAAGACTCAAAACAAAGCAGTAAATAAAAACTGTTTAGTTTTATAATGAGTTCACTAATAAAAACTGTCATCATTAACGTTGAACACATGTCAGATTATGTTTAATACTATCATTCAATAGCAACATAAATAACCCTATGAATATAGTTTTTCTTGGAAAAAACATCTCATTAATAAAAAAAATTCTATGAGGGCAGAAAATTAAACCATTTTCTGCAGCAGAAATTAACTGGAATGTTTTTGAATTTACGGAATATATCGGAATATATCGGATATACGATTGAGGACCTGTATAGACAAATTTATGTCTGGGAGTAAAGTACTCCTAAAGAAGTTCTTGTGCAGAATTTCAGAAGATTTCGTTTAAAAATGTTGCTAAAATAATCAAAATACTGAATATGGGGGGTACCGTAATTTTAGGGATATACGATATTGTTGACCTTTATAGACAATTCTCTTTTAGGTACTCACAATGAACTCCTTGTGTGGAATTTCAGACTATTCCATTGAAAAATGTGGCTAAAATCATCAAAATACCGAATATAGGAGGGTACCGTTATATGGGACCTATACGATATAGTGGACCTATAAGTAAATAGTTATCTTCCAAGGGATAAAGTACTCACAAGGAACTCCTCGTGTGGATTTTCAGACAATTCCATTGGAAAATGTGGCTAAAATCATCAAAATACCCAATGTCGGAAGGTGCCGTTATATGGGGGATATACGATATCGTGCACCTATATAGACAATTCTCTTTCAGGGGGTAAAGTGCTCAAAAAGAACTCTTTGTGTAGAATTTCAGACAACTCCGTTGAAAAATGTGGCTAAAATCATCAAAATACCGCATATCGGGGGGTTCCGTTATATGGGGGCTATACGATATCGTGGACCTATATAGATAATTCTCTTCCAGGGGAAAGTACTCACAAGAAACTCCTTGTGTGGAATTTCAGACAATTCCATTGAATAACGTGGCTAATATGGGGGCTATACGATATCGTGTACCGATATAGTCCATCATCAAATTTGACCTGCCTGCAGACAAAAGACAGATCTGTGCAAAATTTTAGCTTCCTATCCTAATTCGTTTTGACTGTAGCGTGATTACAACAGGCGGACAGACGGAAGGACGGACAGTACTAAATCGTCTTAGAGTTTTGCGCTGATCAAAAATATATATACTTTGTTGGGTCTAAAATTATTATTTCGATGAGTTACAAACGGAATGACGAACTTAATATACCCTCCATACTATGTATGGTGAAGGGTGTACAAAGAATTTAAACTACTTTGTGTCTAACCCGATAAGGAAAGGACGAATTTTAAATTTAAGCGGTTGACATCGGATTAAACTAGTATACGAGAGCTATATCTTAACCTAAATCAATATCCAATAAAACTTAAATATCTTTATCTGAATAAATTAACTTCTTGGCGAAATTGAGTTGTATACACCAAATCCATTCTCTTTGGTCAGATATTTCAGACTATCACCTTTAAATTGTAGCCAAAACTATGGCAAAATCGAATATATCCTTATAAAGGTATAGACTTATAATTCTTTTGTCAAATTTGTACAGAGGATAAGGTATATATTACAATCTTCATATTCGAC